TGTGTGTGTGTGTGTGTGTGTGTGTGACACACGCTAAAACTGTGCTCCAGAGTGTTCCCAGTGGCTGGTTTTTGGGGGAAGCAGGTGGCCAGGACTTTCTTCTGCAGCACCTCAGGGCAGCCAAGAACCTCTAATACAGTGGTTCTCAACCTTCCTAATGCCGTGACCCTTTAATACAGTTCCTCATGTTGTGGTGACCCCCGAACCATAAAATTATTGTCATTGCTACTTCTTAACTGTAATTTTTCTATTGTTAGGAATCGGGCGACCCCTGTGAAAGGGTCGTTCAACCCCCAAAGAGGTTGCGGCCCACAGGTTGGGAACCGCTGCTCTAGCCTCTAACCTGTCACTTAGCAGCTGAGAGCTGTAACCCTGTGTAGTCCCAGAGTGGGAAAGCCAGGCCCAGACCCCAAGAAAGGCCCCCGAGGGAGCCGGTGGTCCTCTACCTTTGTCTAGCAGCGTCAGTGACAGGGAGGCCAGGTCGTTGAACTGGAAGAGAGAAGCCTGGTTCAGGGATGGCCGGCACGGGCTGGCGGGCTTCCTGGGGCCTGGGTGCCCAGTGTCCACAGGCAGTTTGTGTTCCCCGCTGAGACACAATCTGGGCACTGTTGGGCACCTGGTGCTCCTTGCCAGGGGCACCCATGGGAATGAGGGGCCAGCAAGGAGCACCCCATGGGAGAGGTTAAGACTGGCTTCTGGGGGGTGGGGAGAAGCACTTCCACTACTTAGGGTTTCCCTCCAGGGCCCAAGACCCATGTGAGCGTGTGGGTCACAGCCACACTTCCTCATGGGGTTGGGCCAGTTGTGGGACTCTGGTCACTGCCCCCTCAGAGGGCTGTGGCTACTGAAGAGGTCTATTTGTCCCGGGCTTTCAGCAAGCGAAGCCACTTCTGGGTGCACAGTTCTAGGACCAGAAAGCAGGAACCTGTGCAGATGCTGTGCCCCATCCTGGGTAGCAGCACCGGTCACAATAGCCAAAGGGTGAGAACATCCCCAGTGTCCACCCCCAGAGGGATGGGTTAAAAGAAGGTAGCCTACCCACACAAGGGAAGGGGTTGGAGTCGACTTAAGGCCGTGGGATTTGGGGTAAGAAAGGGAATGAAGCTCTGAGACCTGCTACGTCAGGGATAACCCTTGAAAACACTTTGCCAAGAGGAGGAGGCCAGCCGCCAGAGGCCTGGCCTGCAGCGGAAGTGTCCCCCTCTGTGGAGAGTCCAGAGGAGGCAGCTTCATGGAAGAGAGATTAGGGGTTGCCTAGGGCTTGGTTTTTTTGGTTTTTTTTTAAGAATTAGAATATTCGGGAACTAGATAGTGCTGATGGTCACAACACCATGCACAGATGGTCACATCGGTATGCAGTGTGACCGAGTTGTGTAGTTTAGAGCCATGAACATGGTGTCTTTTACAGCCCGCCAGGAAGTGGGATTGGTACCTGTTCGGATGGACCAAGAACGCAGGCTCTGTCTACTCACTGGCCTCTTTGGCCCTAGTGACAGAGTCCCCGAGTCTGCCCCGGGACCCCCTTCTGCCTCCCAGGGGTCCTTGCTCCAGGCAGGATCTCACCTCTCCCATCACAGCAATGGGCGTCTCCCCGGTGGCCTCGGCGACACGGTGCTCCACCAGGTAGAACATGTACTCGTCATAGAGCAGGCGGATCAGGTGGAAGGAGCCGAAGCTGGCGGCACTGCGCAGGGTCAGGTCCCGGATCACCATGGAGCTGCCAGGAGTGGGGTGGGGTGGGGCACGGCATGAGATTGGCCACCGCCAATCTGGCAGAGTAACTCTCTGCTCGGCTCTTCTGGGAAGCCGGCCTGCCCGTGAAGGCTACCAGGGGAACTCTTGGCATATGAGGGGCTCAGAGACCAGGCCTGTGATGTTGGTTGGGGATGGGGCTGCTGACTCCCCATCGGAGGGAATGTGGTGGTGACAGGGAGGGGGAGGGGAAGAGGGGCCAGCCTCAATGCAAGAAGCCATGAGATTGTTCCTGGCCACCTGGAAGAGCGGAGTGCCTGGATAAGTACTCCAAGTCAGAGAAGAGGCTAGAAACTGGCTCCCATGGCGGCTTGTCCCCCCTCTGCTCCCCAAGGCTCCTCCAGTTCCTTAGTGCTCATCCTTTTACTCCTGCAACACAAGCCTCTGAGGCAAACTCCAAACTGGGGCCAAACCCTGTCCTCGGCCTGTTGGCACAGTGGTTACGTGTTGGGCTGCCAACCAAAAGGTCAGCAGTTCAAAACCACCAGTTACCTCTTGGCGAAAGATGAGGCCATCTACTCCTGTAGAGATTTTCAGAAATCTCAGAAACCCACGGGGGCAGTTCTTCGCTGTCCTGTAGGGTCGCTCTGAGTCAGAATTGGCTCGGTGGCAGTGAGGTGGTTTTGACTTTTTGCTGGTGTGCTGGGCTAACCATTGAGCTGCTAACCGAAAGGTCGGCAGCACAAACTCACCAGCAATGCCAAAGGAGAAAGACGTGGCTGTCTATTTGTGTACAGGTTGCCAGTGGGGCAGTTCTACTCTGCCATGTAGGCCCTCTCCAGGTGAGGATGGCAAGAGGAGTGGGTGGGTGGTGTGACTGATTCTCTACTGTGAGGTTGGTAGCTCAAGGCCACCCAGAGACCCATTGGAAGAAAGGCCTGGTGCTCTCCTCTGCAAAGGTGCCGTGCATGGGGTGGCCGTGAGCTGGGAGCAGTCAATGGGTCTGCTTTTGGGGTAGAGAGAGAGATTCATGGACGCAAGCCGCTGCTGTGTCACCAGAGCCGGTACTGGGTTTCTGTCCTCTCCTTCTGAGCTTCTCCTTCCGTCCTCTCTTCGAGGCTCACGGTCAGTTGCAGGGGCTCAGCCACTGCCCCTGTGTGTCCCACACACAGTAGCCACCTGCCTGCCCATGGAGGCTGGTATGTTTCTAGGATGCTCAACAGGTCTCAGCAGAGCTTCCAGACTGAGATGGACTAGGCAGAAAGGCCTGGTGGTGGACTTGTGGAAGCCAGCCCTGGAGAATCCTCTGGCATAGCAGTCTGACCCCTGAATGATTGGGGGCGGGGGGGGTTGTTGCAGACCAGTGGCATTTCCGTCTGTTGTATCTGGTACTGCTCGACCACTGCTAAGGACAGGACAGCGCTCACCCCTACCCCAGGCCAGCCAGGCCTGCTTTCTCCTTGCTCAGGGAGGTGGGCGAGCTGCAGCCTGAAAGCTCATCGCCTCTTGGAAGCCTCCCTGGGCCAGCGGGGGCCTTACCTGTAGAAAGACCACTTCAGCAGGAACTGCCGGGCGGCCTTGGGGAAGCTGGGGCTGCCGGCGTGCTGCTTGAGGACCTGGGTGACCACGTTGTCCAGCCAGCTGGCCCACTGGTCCAGGGAACTCTGTTGCTGCAGAGTCAGCTTGAAGTCCTGCTGCAGCTGCTGCACCAGGCCCTCCTCGCACTGGCACACCCACGAGGCTTGCTCCTGCGCACACGCCCAGGCCGTTAGGGAGGGACTCGCCTCCCCA